TGTACTCCAGTTTCCACCTCCAGTCCAAAGACATGCGTTGTAGGCTGATTTCCAAATTGCCCTGAGATTGCCCTGGGTTGGCACCCCGTCCAGGGTACCTTTTATGCCCCAAGTCCCCTGGGACAGGCTTCAGGCTCCTGACAACCCTGTGTAGGATAAGTGGTACAGAAGATGGATGGAAACTGTCTGGCTCTAATACTGCATTCCGAAATACGAGTCGGAATTTGGGGATATTTGAAGATTTTACCAACCAAACTTGGAACTGACTATACAGTGTTCATCCTTCAACTTATAATGAATTACAGCTGAAAAATTTCATCAAACGCTTGAGGTATAATAAAGATTTTCATATAATCACTGCTACATGCTAATGGTAGCTAAAGTCAGATGTTTTCCACCAGGCCAAATTCTCCCACACGGAATTATAGACTACAAAGCATCACTTCTCCTACTTTTGGAATAACATTCAAGCTAAAAAGCCATGAGACACTCTAGCTAATTGCTCACAGAACCTTACCCCCACAGAAGGTCCTATTAGCTGATAGCACGAGCATTGATTAGAGCAGTTAGTGCTTAGTAAGGACAGATCGATGGGAGACCGTCACGATCCTAAAGTGTGATGACTTTGTTTCAGTCTTTATTAGTTTGCTCTTTTGTGTTTGCTTAGGTAAAAGAAAAAAAAAAGCGCACATTAGCCGGTAATTTCCACAAGTGTGTCCCCTCACACATACCACCTACACACTGGACGTGTTAAGGTAATTATACTATGAAGAATCTCAGTGAGATCGTCATGCGCGTATAGCATCACGAATCGCAACGCTCGATCGAGCATCGAGAGAAAACATATAACATCTAGTTCATTACACAGAAGTTGCAATCCTCTGTAGAAGTCTTCATACGTTCATGTCAGCATGTTCCCTCTGGGTTGTTATCTTGTACAATCCTATTCTCCTGCTGATCAAAACATCAAAGACGATGCAAAGCAGGTGGGGGGCAGAGAGTGTGTGAGGACCAGGTGTTTAAATGCAGAATGGAAGAAAATGAGTGCATGCTGTGTGTGTGTGGCCATTATGAGCATGTCTGAGTCACTCATTTGCTGTAGGGCTGTTGAGGGAAATCACGTTTCTTTTGGATGTGTAGTAGGAGCAAATTCACTTTGCCTTTCATAACCAACCAAGAAACACGCACGGCCTTAATCATATGCTTTTCACCAGATTACCGTCCATTCAACTTTGCTTTATAGCTGAGACTGTAGATGAAATGATTATTACAACCTGTATAAGTCATTACATGTCATTGTTATGGACCACAAGGGGTTATTGTCATGTGCAATAGATGGCTGCCAGAAGGAGTTGAGATGAATGCCCTTGGAGCTCATCTGGCCAAGCAGCCAGAAGGCAATCACGTGTATGCCCTAGATACCCAACTTGCCAATTTACTAATAGTGATATGTGTATAGGTGCTCTAGGTGCACCAGTTTACCCTAACCGCACTTGAGCTAAAGTTGGCATAGATGTGTAAGTGTTCAAGTTGCTAAAACGGTTAGTGCCTCAGGAACAGAAGTGATCAAGTTACCAAGTTAATATATGCATGCCCTAGGTGGTCAAGCTATTAATATGGATTTTCTTTTGGATGCCCTTTGTTAACAACTGCCCAAAGTGGCAGTGCTGCGGGTGCAGAGAAAAGACATACAGTGTACATATATTTATGTCCTAGGTACCCGACATACTAACGTATTACATTTAAGGGCCTCGATCAATGGTTAAGGGCCTTGCTCAAGGGTTAAGTGCCTCGCTCACGGGTTAAGAGCCTTGCTCAAGGGTTAAGGGCCTTGCTCACGGGTTAAGAGCCTTGCTCAAGGGTTAAGGGCCTTGCTCAAGGGTTAAGGGCTTTGCACAAGGGTTAAGGGCCTTGCTCAAGGGTTATGGGCCTTGGGCAAGGGCCCAGCAATCTCCAATCAGGAGTCCACGGAGCTACCACTGCCCCCTAACATCTGTCTGTATTTGTTCTATGTGCACTAGTTGTCAGGGTTCCAAGAAGGGTTTCAGACTGGAGCTGTATATGCACAAGTGATCAAGATGTGTAACTTAAGGGCTACTAATAAGGAATGGTGTGCCCTGGAAATACTTGTAGTCTAGGGGCCAAGACGCACTCATGCTACAAAAGTAATGTGTTTGTTGCCCCAGGTGGGCAGATGATCAAGTTGCCAGTGGGCAAGTGGCACATACAGTATATGTATACTCTAGGTACCCAAGTAGTCAAGCTATTAATAGGGTCTGAAGGTGCACTAAGTGTGCTAGTGGTGAAGTTGCCAAAAGGGGTCCATATGTAAGTGCACAAGTGGTCAAACTGTTAATGGTAAATGAAAATACATATGGACCCCTTTTGGCAACTTCACCACTAGTACACTTAGTGCACCTTCAGAACCTTATAAATAGCTTGTAAATGTGCACTTATATAGCTCTTTTATCCAAAGTTTTACACTGTGTCTCATTCACCCATTCACACACCAATGGTAGCAGAGCTGCCATGCAAGGTGCTAGCTTGCCATCGGGAGCAATTTGGGGTTCAGTGTCTTGCCTAAGGACACTTTGGCATGTGGAGTCACCCGGGCTGGGAATCGAACCGCCAATCCTACGATTAGTGGATAACACACGCTACCAACTGCGCCACAGCCGCAATGAGGCAATGGGGCAGTGCCCTGGGTGCACAAGTCATCAACATACCAAAAGGCATGCATATATATGGTATTTATGCCCTAGGTTCCCAAGAGTCCTAGCTACTAATAGGAATATGTGTGTGCACGTGCCCTAGGTGTACCAGTGATCAAAGTGACAAGAGGACTCAATTTGAAAGCCCTAGGTACACAAGTAGCCAGGTTACTAATAGAGATCCTATGAGATACTTGTATTCTAGTTGCCAGGAGGTGCTCAAGATATGTCATGATCAGGTTGCTAAAAGGGGCCCATACGTAAGTGCGTTTTGTAAAGTTGTCAAAAGGAGCAGTACCACAGGTGTACAAAAGATCAAGTTAGCACAGATGGAAACATTGCCATAAAGGGTCAATGTCCTTGGTTCACATGTGATAAATAAAAAAGGGCATATATCTATGCACTAGGTACACAAGTGGCCAAGCTACTTATGGTGATCTGTGTCTAGATACCCTCTGTGCATGAATGGTTGGGTTGCCAAAGGGGTTTTGGTATGCTGTCGTAGGTGCACAGGTGGTCCAGTTGCCAAGAGAGTTCCATATGTATGTGTGACAAGCTCACATGTGATCAAGTTGTCAAAAGGGGCACGAGGAATTGCAGCCTATGGGGCCCCTTTCCCATCCTATAATGCATGACCCTGTGGCCTAAGTGGTCAAATTACCAAGAAAGACCCTTGTGTAGGCTCTGTAGGTGTCCAAGTTGGCACATAGCCAAAAGCAGTCTGTGTGAAGTAGTGAACAAACAATTTCTTGCAGTCTCTGTGAGGTCCCCCACCACCTCAGTTCCCCTTGCAATGAGTGCCTTAAGCATATTGTACAAGTGTTCAAGTTGTGCAAACGGGACCGAGTCTGTTTTCTCATTGACAGCTCTTTGAATGTGTGTGTGTGTGTGTGTGTGTGAGGCCTGAAGACTGATGTGCCCCTTTATGGATGAACAATCTTACATCTTATTGGACCATCTATCAGGGAGTGTTTGCCCTCTGGTCATTCATATCAGTGCTCCTTTATAGACAAGGGAACTCTCCAAATTTCTCTCTCTCTCTCTCTCTCTCTCTCTCTCTCTCTCTCTTTTCATCATCTCATTCTTTCTAAGTTCTGCCTCAGTAAACCTGGCTTATTTTTCCTTTCCTTTGACAGATGTTTTTATTCAAAGGAATTTAAGTGAGGTAGAATCCAGTCTAAGCCCAAAGCAGAGCAGGTAGAGATTGTGGGCCTTGCTCAAAGGATTTAAAATCCCAACTTTCCAGTCACTAGCGCAGAACTTTACGCACTGAGCCATCACCGCTGTATGAAACATAGTGAATCTTTTAATCTCAGATGTGCAAGGGAGCGAGAGAGAGAGAGCTTGAGAGAGAGCGAGAGAGATTGAGAGAGTAGGTAGGTGTAACTAAAGAGAAGACGAAAGAGATGATCATCCCCAGGGAAAGAACAGGTGGAACTCATGAGGATGCTCTATCTGTGTCAGCTCTAATACAAGTCACTGAACATCCGCGATGTGCAGAGGCGTGATCTAGCGACTGTTTCTCTTTCTGTTTCAGCACGAATACCCAGTCCATACTTATTACTCAAGAGTGCATTACCTAAAACTGACCATTCTTTCTTCTTCATAAAACCGAAACTATAAAACGCTCTTGATCGTGGATGCCGTGTTCCGTGCGAAATGACCGTGCTGGACGGAGTGTGAAATTAAGCATTGGCTGGTTTTCCCTGTAATAATTTAATACACGATTCATACAGTGGCGTTTCTGGGTCATTATTTTTGAATGAACGCGAAGGTTGAACTCAAAACTACCACTAGGACAATGGTGTTCAGCCAGCGTGCCACGAGAGCGGAAATGATACTGTTTTTTTTTTTTTAATATATGTATAATAAAGAAATTAATAGAAAGGTCAGGGCTCTGTGCGGGACACTCCAGTTCTTCCACTCCAACCTTCACATACCACGTCTTCACAGAGCTGACTCTGTGCACAGGTGCATTGGCACGCTGGAACAGGTTTGGGCGTCTTAGTTCCAGTGAAGGGAAATTGTAATCTTACAGCAAAGAAAGATGTTCTGTACAATTATGTGAACAGGAAATGGTCTGGGAAGACTCATATATGGGTGTGATGCTCAGGTGGCCACAGAACTTTGGCCACATATGGTATGTGTGTGTTTTTCTGGTGGTATTGGAAACACTGGTCAACGTCCCTTCTTTATTAATACATAAATATACTCTGCTAAACGTGGCCTTGGGGTTAACCCTAACCCTAACCCTATCCCGAACACTAACCCTAGCCTTGGTGTCTGCAGGGAAGTGGTGGCTCATTGGTTAAGATGTCGTACTTCTGATTGGAAGGTCGTGAGTTCAAATCCCAACGCTATCACTGCTGGGCCCTTGATCAAGACCCTTAACTGCTCAGTTGTATAGATGAGATCAGTGTAAGTCGCTCCGGATAAAGGTGTCTCCAAATGCCGTAAATGCAACGCTGCTCTTCTTTCTGGCTAGTTCTTTTTTCTAAATTTATTCGTATAGCACTTTTAACAACGGATATTGTCTCAAAGCAGCTTTACAGGAACATATAAACACGGGATAGAGATTTTAAGCGTGTGGATTTATCCCTATTGAGCGAGCCGGTGGAGACGGTGGTGAGGGAAAACCTCCCTAAGATGATACGAGGAAGAAACCTTGAGAGGAACCGGATTCAGACGGGAACCCGTCCTCATCGGGGTAACGACGATGCATATTTACATATCGTGTATAATCGAAATGTCTCAAAATATCATACTGACGTTTTTTTTTGTTGTTGTTTATTTAATTTTTTTTTTTTCATATGGCCCATGCTTATTTTAAGTATTATATGGATGATGGAGATATATACACGTGTACAAATCCTTCATCTAAATCGTCCTCACGCAGAAAAAACGTTGCTGAGTCGCTACACGAATCCGCACCACTGCCTCTAATTACACTTCTGTAGTTAATACGCTACTCATTAAATCAGTGCTGGGATTTTTTGAGTGATGTGCTCATATCCGTCCTGATTTTCATTTCGTTTTGCTCATAATCGATGAATCACTTTCTTTTTGGCCAGAGCATCTCCTAGATGAAAGATACAGAAATGCAGATTTGCTCTATGAGCACAATGTTATGAAATGCGGATTTTTTAAGAAAAACGAAAAAACAGCCAGACCGATGATGCTAAATGCTATGCTAATTCTTCAAACGTTAATTGAATCCATGTCAGTCATTATTCATGATTAATTAAAATGTTCCTGAAGAGGAGACAGGATGCAGGTGATAGACAGTGTGAGATGGAGGACAGGGGCAAGATAAGAACTGTTTTAAAAGCAATAATCTTTCCAGAAATGCTAATAAGAAAGGAACTGAACACTCCACGCCGTGCCGCTCGAGGAAAATAACCAACGACGCAGTGGCGTGATGGTGTTCCTTCTACCCCTCGCATCCGACCGCTCCGCCTCTTATTTCCCAGCATGCACCTGGCACCCTGACGTGTATCAGACATCTTCCTGTTTGTATGGTTAACATCATCAACACGATATTCACTAACAAAATGGGCCATGTGCTGCTCTCTGTGCTCCTGCTACCCCGTGCTGCTAACCGCTCGGCCTCTTATTTCCCAGCATGCATCTGGCACCCATCTTGGAGAGGAGGAGGCTCTGAAATGGGAATGCAGCCAAAGAGCTCGCCAGCGTGCTACTGTCCCCAAAATAAATACCAGGATCTTTAATAGAGCAGATCGTATTTAGCGTTTGTTTCCGACAAGACCTGAAAGACCAGGAAGATGGCAATGATTAGCATAAAGAGTCACTGACTGATGAGCTGCGCTGCACTGAGCTTCTGCGTTTATTAAATAAATAAATAAATAAATAAATAAATAAATAAATAAACACATGAATGTCCTCCACAGAAATTATGAGACCAGGCATCTCAGATGAAGAATTACGAAGAGCCGCAGGAAGGAAAACTCCACGATGAATATGTTTCTATGGAGATATTTGTCACGTGGTTAGCGATGCTCATGCTAATTTATACTGTGAGGCCACACTGTTGTGTGTCACGAAGTGCGTTGTTATGGCTTTTAGTGTGGCGTTTAGTAACAGAGAAAAAATCGCAACGATCCGAATCGTAAGTTGCATCGAGAAGCCTAGCGTGGAAGTAGTAAAGATAAGAGAAGTTGGATTTAAAGATTGCAATACCACTATACGACGCAGTAATGCTAAGTAAGGGGGCGTGGCCAGCAAGCACCGCGATGTCTGCGAGATGGTGAAGCTATCTGTCGGTGGAGGTTACTGAACGGAGATGTTTATTTATCGTATATGGAAGGAGTCTCCGATGTCAGTGTTAAATGTATACTTCACACCACCACGTCACCGGTCTGTACAGGATCTCATTGAGTTTTAGGTGATTGTCGCGGCCTGAAATGCCTGATTGCGAAATCGCGACTGTCTTTCGCAGTGATGAAGAGATCTTTGACTGGATACGCGTTGTGATGACATCACACGACGCTTCTCAGCCCAAAATCTGTGGGAAATCTCCGTTCATTTTGAAAAATCGCACGTTCCTCCGAACGTTTGCTTGATTTGCGTGTTCATCTCTGCGATTGGGAAATCTGCGTCGCTGGTTATTTTCCTATAACAGCATGCCCCCGATGTGTTTCATTCCTTACTTACAAAATTTCAGACTCACTGTCCTGCTCATGCGACTGTACATTCCTTCGTTTCTATTCATTTATGTATTTATTTTGTAAAACCCGAAATCCCATCGCCTGAGCGGTGGCCAGACGACACAAGCGGCAAACAAACCCGGACAAAAGAATTCCGAAAACCGCTCGTGGAAAAAATAAATAAATAAATAAATAAAACGTTTATTTCTGCTAACAGACTGTACCTGTTACTCCAGGGAGGAAGAACGTTTGCTATTCAGGTTGAAGATGATTGTCCTTCCGATATAGACACCAAAAAAAGAAAACAAAGGATTCGAAAAAAAAAAGAACGATCGGTGCTGAAAACGCTGAAAACGTTGGCTCGGGTTTTCTTTCGAAAAGAATAGAAACGATTACCACTAAAGACATTTTGGCTCAGGCTCAAGCTTCATAGTATGCACCAGCAGATTTAAAAATGACTCTGAGAGTTTAAAAAAAAAAAAAAAAAACGCATCGGAGTAACACAATTTCTCATTGAAAAAAGCAGAAGAGCGGTTTGCTTTATCATTCGCGTGATCTGTAGCCCTGCCTTCACTTTCTCCTTCACTTGCGTTTGCGTCCTGATTCATCAGACGCCAAAAGGTCCTCAGTATGCTCGTATGTTCTATGTTCTTATCTGGATTGGCTTTATTTTTAACCATGTTTAGACACAAATTATGCGCAGACACACATTTAGCTGATTACGATGTTCATTTAAAAAGGTATCCTTGAGTTCCTGTTTTGGATTTTGGTCCCTCTGTAATTTCCTGTCAGATCCGCTTTGTATATTCTATCAAAAGAAAAATAATAAAGCTAAATGTTGGCTATTTTCATATCATTCGGTATTATCCTGTACATTACCAGTCAAGAGTTTAGACACACTAGATGACATAGATTTTATTCCCATTGTCTTTAAATAAAGGCTTGCGGTCTTGTTAAACTATATTTGGGGATTAAATATGTATTTTACTTAACAGTTTTGAATTGTTTCAACCAAACAAGTTTTCATTTTTGAACTTCAGGAGAAGAAGTTCAGGAAAAGCCTCCTGGGTGAAGCTCCATCGTGAAGCTGGTTGAACGGAAGCTGAGAGTGTACAAAGCTTCATCAGGAACATTTTCACAGTCACTGAATAATTCCAGGTCTCTCTTCGGTATTATTATGTAAAGCAGCAGAAATGAAGAAAAATTCAGATCTTCAATGCGCGGGGCGTACAAACTTTTGACCAGCCATGTAAGTCGATATTTGCATTTTACTGTCTGTATTGTATTATTGTATTCACTTCACGATCGACTGAAACATACTGAGCTCTGTTGCAGCGTCTGAGGCATCAGTTTAACCGAAAATAGAGCTCCAAGGTCGGCTAAAATGGCCGTCTTTACTGTCTCTTTCTCGGGCAGCGTAGATCATAGCGCTGGTCTATCTGGTGTCGTTTAAAAGCTACTCTTAAACTACCGCTTTTTAACTGTTATAACATGCTCACGTAACCGTATAACCTGTAACGCATGTCACTGTGATCCGGAGCAATCGGTCAGCATGCTCTCTATATATTATATCTCTGTGGTTTGTGCAGATTCAGACCTCTAGTGTTCAAACGGTGCAATTGCATTCGATGACTAATTCATAGAATTCATAATGATTCGCATGATGCGCATCGTCAGTTATTTTTTACACCGCCATCGTTTATACAGTAGGTGCAATTTCGACCTTTTCCTGCGACTGAGGAACGTTCCCAAGATCTCAAGAAGCTTTAGGCATGTTTTCACCCAAGTTTCGCACGTTCTTGAGATGTCTAGGTTTCTTCCAGGTTCTCCGGTTTCCTCCCACCTCCCTCAAACATGTTGCTAGATAGTAGGCAGCCTTCAATTGTCGCACGATGTAAAATATCGTGCCTTGAGATGAACTGCTGTCCCGTCTTTGTGTGTATTCCCTTGTGTGTTCCCGGATCCAGTGCAAACCTGACCGGGAGAAAGCGCTTGCTCATGAACTCCTCGGGTCCTAATTCTCGGTCGAAAGAGTTTCACAATCTTTTCGTTCCCGAACGAAATTCGGAGGCCGATCCGATCTCGTAGAGAAGGGAAGAAGGATGAGGAAGGTGCACTGGTAAGCTTCTGATAGCACCGTGACCCTCACTATTCCTCTGAGCGCCTGACCAAGAACACAGCGGAGGTCAGGGCCATCTGTCACACAGTTTCTCTCTCTCTCTCTCTCTCTCTCTCTCTCTCTCTCTCTCTGTGTTCCTTTCCTCCCACTCTTAGCTTTTTTTTCCCCTATCAATCTTGGTTCTTTAGCTTTCTTCTCTCCCTCCCTTAGGCAGCATCTCTGTGCAGCAAGCCAACATCCTGGAATCTGCTGTAGGACAGCGAGCGAGCGAGTGAGTGAAGTGCGAGAGCGAGAGTGAGAGAGAAAGCTAGGATCAGGGTGTATGAGTATGAGTGTCAGGTCGGTCGTCCACCCGCGTGTTCACGTTTCCCATTTTCGTAGCTGCATATTTTGAGGAGTTTTCTTCCCCTCTGAATTACTGTTGCTTATTCAGAAATGCGGTTTATAGCAATTACACACCAAATTGCAGGCCTGCAGTCGTCTGCGTTACATAACATAAGTTTAACATCGTATTTATTTCTCGTTTAATTCCCCGCAGTGACGAAAGACGGTAATTGCGTGATATTGCAGAGATTTCTTG